ACCCTGAAAAAACTTGCTCCTACTACGACCCGCTAGATGTCCTGGCTTGAAGGGCTGCCAGATGACGGGATAACTCGGTATTTCTCGGAAATGGCCGTCATTCTGCGGTGGCTTCTGCCTAAGGTGCCGTTTATAGCACTCACACGTTTGAGATCCCAGGTATCCTGATGGTAGCCCGGTACGTTTGGTGGGGATTGTATCATGTTTTGGCCCGCATACACGGGCTGTCCGACCTAATTCAACCACTGCGCTCGCGTGCACCGCCAGTTGTCTTGACAATGCCTTGCAATCGTAACAAGAAGGGTAAGGAAAGTGTGCTGGATACTGCACAAGTCAGCCTCGCCGTAAAATTACTCACGCCCAAGTCACCAGCGCTACGCCCACTTTGTAGACCTCGCGGAGGACAATGTCGGATGTGGTAACCCTGGCAACTAAAAAGAATTTCTAAAAAGCAACGGCAGTATGAATACAGCGTACACACACTTTACTTATACGCGCATACTCAATACACATACATATTATACTACTCTGGCTAAGAGAGTAACCATCCTTTGTTACTATTTCGACACCAAAACACATTTTCGCTCTTCGCTTGCAAGCACGCAATTGAAGTACTTTTTTCTATTTATCTTTTGTATCCTTGCCTTTTTAACCACAATATTACCAATAGGGAGCTCAAAGGCATTCGATTTTCCTTCCCTCAATAAACTGGTACTGGTACTGAGCAAAAGATGGATGCTGATAGTCCTGTTCTTAGGCCTTCCAGTTTTGCGCAATTTCTTCTCGTCTTATATTCTCAAGTTCCATGGGTTTTAAAGGAGACAGCTGAGGCCATAATCGGCACCCATGACTCGCTCACTTTTCAAGGATTCCTGATTGGTTCTGGTTCATTTGTTAGAGATTATGTAAGTGTCCTGGGACAGTAACTCCTCCCGCCTCAGCGTTAAAAAAAAAGTTAAGTGCGCAAATCGATTCCGGGACTCGAATCTTTGAGATTATTTCATGCCTGGCCAGCAGAGTTCTGTAAAAGGAGTCGACTTTGTTGAACTTCCTCGTTCGAAGCTAAGATACGTTTTCGCTTACAGTATCATTGGGACACTAGTCTGCACAACGGCTTTTGACGTTCTATTTCTGGTAGTCTGATAAATTCAAACAATAACATCCTTAGGCCTTCTACAAACTGCCTAAAGCCTTCTTAGAGCCTCGCAAAAAATGTAAAGCCATTAAATCCAGTACTCTTCCCTAATGACAGTAAAGTATTGAGGTATAACGACCTACCTCCCCATTTTGTAGTAGTCCATCAAATAAAAAATTTGTGTACACAGGACGACGAAACCGTAGTTCCCCTATCCGTAACCCAGCCACCAAGTTACTAATTAACAATTTCGCGGTCACACTCATTGTGGTTTTGCGCATAAGGCTGATTATTGATGCAAAATCCACGCAGTTGCAAACCAATTTTTGTTATGACTGCAAAAATGAGTATCGGTAAAAACAAGAATGGCGCGAATAACCGTTTATGCTTAGGTCCAAGCGAAACGCAACTAACACGAATCCTTGAAAATATACCTTCAAATTACATTTGTACTATGCACGTTTGATGATGCTGTTGGGTTTTATTTTTTGCTGCCTTCCCTCTCACACTTATATGCAAGTACGTCACTAAATCTAATTCAAAGTGTTTGGTTTCGAGTGAATAAGAATGGGGACCGTGAAGTTAGCTAGCTGTGGTCGCAAAATTTAGAAACAAACAAGACGACACGTCTGAATTTAGGAAAAAGCTAATCGGATCCATTTTAGACTCGAAAACAAGAGTTGTTCCGTCTACAACCGGGAATTAACAAAACCAGTATGCAGTTTGCACTCCATATAATTAACTGCCGACAGTCACAATAAGAAATACGAAAATAACGCCTGGCTACAAGCAGGGCTTAATCGGCTCCATGAATGCATGCCTTAAAGGAGCCTTTGAACCTACCTGTATGTGGTGAACGATACGATCAGTAAACTCAGCCGTATTTCTAACATATGGCAACGAGAACCACGCGCATATTCTCCTATTTAAAAGGCCTAGGTTTTTGGGCAACATGTGACTGCTATGAAAACTGATTGTCGTGGACCGGTGCCTTACGTTCCCGGTTTTTTTCACCATGTTTCAGCGTTTAATGCTTTGTTAGTGGGAACTCCTAAGAAGGATGGCTTCCATCTTACATCCTTCTTTAGCATCAACACCAAAATGATGCTTTACGTTTTGCGCGCCAGAACAACACCTAGCTAGGATCGCATTTTCGTGAGAGTGCCGAAACGGCCACATTGTGGAGCTGTTGCAGTCTGACTCTCAGTTTGCCAGTCCACAAAACACTGGACTGGCCGCACAGTCCGAGTTATCCCGTCAGTTAACAACTCACCAAGCCACGGTTTTTTGCGCACTCTGGTAGCTTTAAACGTGTCAGATTATTTATTGCGAGGAAATAAATGCGCGGATTGCCGACATTACCTTCTCCCCCGCCGCCAACATAAAGCCACCGCCTAGCCAATCGGTCACCCGATGTGGAATGAGCCCAGTGTCTTACAGGCCGGCGAACCCGTCTTCGCGCGCTACAACAAGACCTGTTCCCCGTGGCACGCACGCACATCAGGATTTACACAACCCGGGGATTAGAAGGAGACGGCCCGAATATAGGAAAGGAAGAATACGACCATAAATGCATCAATGAAAACTGACTAATAACTGCAAGGACACCTATGGTCGCAGTTATAAGAGGTTAATTGCCAATGGAAACTTTATTACGCCATTTTACTTCTTCTTAGACACACCGACTGTACGTCCACGACGACCAGTGGTCTTTGTATGCTGACCACGAACACGAAGGCTAAAAGAATAAAATGGAAAAGTATGGGAATAGAAATCAAAGTGATCGGACTCGATTAACTCGACTGCCGGGAGGCCAGTCGTACTAAATGGATATAAAACGTTCGTAGAGAGGACTCGGATCTAGAGGCCTAACGAAAACATGGTATAGACAACTAGACGCTCTGAAATTCAGGTTGTACCTAACTTGAGCAATGCAATAACAATAAAACCAGAGAAAGGAAAATAGGCATGTATATATTAACTCCCATTATCAGTCGATTAAGAGTGCTTGCGCAAACTTGGGCATGGAAGAAAGCCGAAACTTGAAATGTTTTGTTGTGCAATGTATTGAGAACATAGCATTACATATGACTAAGGGAGAAGACTGGTCGGACACCCGAATAGTTTATTAACATAAGCTATAGAACTTGTGCAGGACTACATCGTCGGACTTGCAAACGGCGAATAGCCTATAACTATAGGGGGGTGAGTGTCAATTGATTAGTAGTGACACCAGTCTGGAGTAATAGTTCCTAGCGCCACTGATTGGCTTGCATCTCATATCGTTAGAGCCTTTTGCTGCCAAATAAGGTTTCCATTAGTTCGAAAGATCGGGGTGATAAGTTAACTGTCCCGGTGCTTGACCAGTCCCCTTTTCTCCTGCGAACACCTGGAACGCGAACTCTGATACGGTTGAAGCAGACTACAGCAGTACCAGTGCTATAGAAGCATGAAGGGATTAACTAATAGGGCTGTAGAATTTGGCACCAGCTTTCCTTGACAAAATGAGGTTGGAACTCGACTTTATGATAAAAATGTAGTTATAACTCGTTCGATGGGGATTCAGATGACGTTGATATGGGAGCATTATATAGGAAGGTTAACAGGCGAAACTCACCCCCAATAATGCCGCAGGCCACGGTGGGCGCGGATTTTCTTTAAGCGCTCAAGATCTTCACGAAGCTTGGTATCCAGAGCCTGTGACATGAGTTGACTGTGTTTGCCATCCTCTACGTCCTTTTGCCTATTCAAAAACCAATCTGGAATTTTGTACTGGCGAGGGTTGGCCATAACAGTGACAAGTTTTTCGACTTCGTCTTCTGAAAGTTCCCCAGCGCGTTTGCGGATATCGATGTCAGCCTTT